ATAACTATAACAAGTAATGACTATACATGTATAAAATGACCCTAGTTGTGTAAAGAGTGCATAGACTCTATGTTTTGATCGTTATCTTGTGGGAAAATAATAAATATACATGTAATACGTAAATTTTTGATCTGCAGATGATACAAACCAATAAAAATACGCAAGTTTTTGATCAGCTCTGGCAAACAAGACATGAAAAAAACAAAAAATGTAAAAATACAGGAAAAAGATGTTGAAATCTAGCTTAATACACTAACAAAAAATGTCGGGAGGGCAATTTTGCATATAAGCATCATATCAGCTCTAACTCTAACCCTATTTCTAACCTTTAAATTAATCTTTAACAATAATTTCTATTCGATATTTCATATCAATATACATGTATAGCGTAATACAAACATTGTATGTAAAAACTCACACGAAACTTCCCACAATAATGTTTTCTTTAATCATCCAAGATGCATACTTTACAAATATTGAGTTTATGCACTCTTTACAACTAGGATCACACTTTATGACTAGGATCAAAGTTTTCCAGGATAATTAAATATAATGTGTTCTGAATTAGTTTGACATTTGCTCACTTTCTTTTTCTTCGTTCTTTATTGAAAAAATGGAAGATAATTTTCTTCAATCATTCTCTGATTTGCCAACTTTTTATGAAGAAGATTTACAAAAACTGGCCTTTCAAGAAAATGTATATATAATATTAGCAAGTTTATATTATAAACCAATATATTAGTGAACTAATTTATAACAAATTAATTATATTTTTAAGGAGGAGGATATTGAAGCAATTAATCCTGATTACAGTGATATTGAAATAATTATTTCTGATTATAGTGATACTGAGAATAATGAATTGCTTACTTTACAAAGAACTTGGCAATTGATACAATTTATCACATGCTTACTCCCATGGAATATCCACAACTAGTCATAAAGGTGTTGCAATAGTTTTTAATACTCAAGATTGGGAAAAATCTGAATCAGCATTTAAAGATGTAAGTATAATTAAAATATTTTAATTTAGAATAAAAATTATTTATTAATTTTGATTATTTATTAGATTCAATATGCAATGGGAAAACCTGGAGGTGAAACTGAAGTTTTTTGTTCTTATCTTGATGTCAAAGTCAAAAAAGAAACTTGAACTTGTCTTGAAACCAAAATATGTGAATTTACAGTATCAGAGCTTCATAATACAACACATGAATCAGTAGATCCTAATTCAGATCTTGCACATAAAATTAATATTGAACTTACAAATAATAATATTGATAATAATACTTTTGCATAATTATTTATTAATTTATTAATAATAAATTAATAATTAATAACTAATTAATTAATATATTGTTACAAGTCTGTTCTCTAATCGTTAAATTAGTTTACAAACGAGAATCTGAGTTGGGAGAGGGTATAAACTGATAAAGAAAATATTAAGAAAAAAAGAGAGATATCTAAGGCCTATGCCAATTTCTATGAAAATTGTGTTTACTTGAAAAGGAATAATAATGTGGGAGAGTTGTGGGAGAGTAAAGGTCAAAAGGGAGAGAGAATAAAGAAATAATAGAGGAGATTTGAAGGGGAATTCTATACTAGCGTAAAGCTTTCTAGAATTGAGGTAATATAATTAGTAATAACAATAACAAAGATTCTTGCACTTTGTTCTTTTCACTAATGAGGAATTCCATTAACAATTAAAAATTCAAATAACAAAAAGTAAAATACTTATAAATCCAATTTCAATAATTCCAATACAGCGATTTG